GTTATTGCTTAGCAGTTCACAGCTATAGTCCCCCTCAAGTAGATAGAATATGGCGCATATGGGGATCTTATTATAATATACCCAAAGCCATATTCTATCTACTTAAAGGGGGACTGGGGCATGATCTAGAAGTATTTTGGGGGGATCTGGCGGGGTAGGCCTTGAGCTAACGATTTTAGGGATATTTAGGGCTTAGTCCTCGTCCGTCTGTCCCGCAGTCCCGGCTTTCTACCATAACAGAGACTCAAATAGAAAAGAACGTCAAAATCAGATGGAAACTGGGTTCAATAGGGGTCGTATAGGGAGCTAAGGAACTTAGATTAAGCTACTCTAGTATGGAAATCTGCTAAATAATGTGGCTTCATCATTATGGTAACTTAAAATGAATTCCCAACAGCAACCTCATTTTTCGGAGGCTATTCCCAGGGAAGGAAGGAATATGTAGGGATACCGGACAGGATTGATGACCATAATGTGTGTCATGAGTCATAACACGCAGGGGTAGTACAACACACCCGTCAACTTGACAGTTGGGGTGATGTCCGCACACTATTCAGACATGAGGGAGCGGAAGTCAAGATAAATTGGCCAGGAACCCTTTTGAGCTCCCAAGTCCTTTCCATCGCATTATATCGCAAGTTCCGCAAGGGGACAATGCCTTCGAGAACCTCCAAAATCCTCTGCTTGAGCTTGAGCTTGAGCATCGAAGAGAGCAACAGCGAGATTCTTGAGTGCCACATCGCACCCTGCGGCTGATGCTGTGTTGCTGGGAACGCCACCCCACCGACGCCGCCAAGCTCACGCACATCCCCCACTGCCTCCTCCACCCCGACTAAACTACGTACGTCTGCCACAGAAATCACGAAAGCATCCAATGAGCCCATTCGAGAACCTAGCAAGAAGTCCTCTACCAAGAACACATGCGGGGGTCATATGCAAAGCCCAGGTCAGGGAACTAGCTAGCAGAGGTATCACTCTGGGAGAGGTAAATATCGCTCCGGAATGCCGTACCTTACCTAGAGGAAACCATCTCCACAACCCTTCGCCCTAAACCCTGAACCCTACACAGGATTCTGCCCCGTAATCCCCGCAGAGCTTAACTTGACACACACGGTGAAGCTCTTGATTAAGCCCTAGGAGGAACAAGAAGAAGGCAAACTAAGAATGATGTTCATCTCACATACACAAAACGAAAAACTGGAACCAGAAACTTGCAGGACCTTTGTCATAAAGCAGAAGCATGAACCGTAAGCCCACAAACTTCCATTCGAGGGGTGTCAGCATGGTGCTTAAACTAGAGGAGGTTCTATCTTCTTACAACATGCTATGTCACAAAGAAGGAATATACTCTGACGTTATTACATTGATGTCTGCTGGAGGCTCCTGCTGAGTCTGCTCTGGCGTCTCGTATTGGTCGACACTTGTCGTGCTGCTGCTGGAACTGTTTGCAGCTTTGGAGAACCTGCGGATTGGGAAGCTTGACGACGCTTCTGGGTTTCAGAGTCCCATCCCCGTCTACGGCTTGCCTATAACTTATAGCAAAGGTTTATAGATAGGATCATCATTGAGGTGGTACAAGGAGTGGAAGCCTGGTTTTGGGGAGTACCCGTTTGAAGCGTGGGCTTTAGGGTGCAGAATGTGACGTCCCCAATACGATCGCAAGGTTCTTGTGGCCATGGAGATTTCCATGCGTACCCCTAAAACCTGAACCCAGCACCAATCACGGATCTTAGGTATATATATATATATGGAAATTTACGCCAAACGACCCCCTGCGATAGCTCTAGAAATGAAACTGCGATCCGTTTAAGCCAAGAACACACTGCCAACCATTACTTAAGTTTGAGGCTGCGGCTGTGGTCTGTGCTAAAGACCAGCCATGCCAGTATACCTACCACACGGATAGGAGCTGAGAACGAATCCTTAGGGTTTAGGGTTTAGGGTTTAAGAGGGACCCCATGCATGAGAAATCCCAAACTCCATACCTCTGTCAGATGATGTTTCAAGTCTCTGGAGAATGCAGGGGCCAGATCGGTTATCAAGTTTTAGGGCTTAGGGACCAGTCATAAAAACTCCTATGGAAAGAACATGGAAGATAAAAGGGAAACTGGGTGTGTGTGTGTGTGTAGCAATATATAAGTTTATAATGCGCATACAAGGTAGAAGCCTCAATAGTTGCCAGAATTGTGACACTTGATTCCCTGTATAATCATATGATCATGGTTTATGGTGGTCAAACAAACATCACAATGAGCTTAGTAACTCTATAGATGAGCAGTGCTTAAGTTGGGCGCTCATGGTATTTGGCTCAAGGATGTAAAAGACCCAGATAGTGAAGGGACTGTAAACAGCATATCACGAACACATTGGTTTCGATGAAGCCTCTAACCTGCATTGACAGCAAAATCATGAAGCCATGCATTTCTCACCGTTAGCACCATGTATCCCATATAGCACACTGGCAAGCCTGCCAAAGCAGCCCGGAATCTAACAAACAGAACCCTAATCCAACAATCTGCGAACCCAAACCCAAAAACCCGAGGCTGGAACTGCTAAATCCTAAACTTTGGCCTTACACCCTGAACCTGAAACCCAAATTCTGACCGGCGAGTTCGAAACAAACATAACCCCTGAGCTCAAAATTACAACCCAAAATTCTAAACCCTGAACTCCGTGTCCTAAATCATCCTGCGATTCCTAGGGAATTTTGTGGCTGATAATCTTTGAAGCCAGGCGGCCACTGTTCCCGACTCCGGGTACCGCCGCCACCGCCCCCCGGGAGCATCACTTGGGTGCTGGAGATCTGGGACAACTTGTTGCGGGTTAGTAGAAAATGAGAGAATATACTATATGGGGACTATATTATAAAGTGACGATATTCCGTTATTCCCTGCAGCACCAGTAAGGTAATCTTTATGCTTTGGAAAGGTTCGGGGCAGTGCACGGCGAATGCAAAGAAATGAGCAGCGACTCTTGTGATTACAAACCAAATGCCCATGGTCATGCAGGCACTGCCCCCTGAAAGGCATTTGTCGGAAGTGTATTTTTTACGGCAAGCCGCCTGAAGCATGGATTGACATGTCAGGAATCGTTATCAACATCAGTTGTCCACTTGAAGGACCTGCGGTTAGCTAAGCTGTGCGTCTCAACAAGGGCTCCGGCACGCTGCCAAAGACCTAAACCATGTTCTGCAGACCCACAGAATGCCGAAGGGCCGAAAGCATGCCTACTTTCTACTAACACATCTCTCAACCTGTTCCTGAACCCCTCTGGACGTTGTGCTCAACCTTATAGACGCTAAGCCCCGAACCCCCTAAACCCGAAGCTTCAAAACCCAGACCTCCTGAATTCACCGGAGCCATCAGGGTACATAGCCTATATAGCAGGTATATAGGGATTCCAAGGTTCAGGGCCGATACTAGGGGCCCATGGTTTCAACCTTAGAGTTAAGCTTCAACATACGGACGGTCATGGGTTTTTGTGGGTATAGATTGTATTACGGCACCGGTACCAACAGGGAACTCTGATTAAGGGAACTACCCATATATCTTGCTAGCCTCCTAAATGGGAGCCTTTTTGGGAACTCCCCATACAGCTCCCATGCCACTTGTAGCCTCCTTCTTGATCTCGTGGAGCTCTCGGAAGTAAGGATCCCGCAGAGCCTGCCTGCCATGGCTTAGACCCTTGATTGTTCTTACAAGTCTTACTATTACTATTGTTACTATTATTGTTATTATTATTGTTATTATCACTGCTATTAGTACTGCTATTCTTGCTGTTAGTCCTACTGTTGTTATTACTACTACTACAATTATTGCTATGATTATTCATATACCCAGAGGCTTGGGCTTGAAGCTGAGGGTTTGGTTTAGGGCTTAGGGTTTGCAACCGCTTGGCCAGATCAGACCTGCATCTTTACGCCCTATCCACGAAGGAAGTACTTGAGAACAATGGGGGAGTCTTTAGGGCTGTTAGGATTTAGGGTTGGATTGTTTTGGGTTTGGGCTAAGGGTCAAGCTAGCATGCAAGGATCATAGGTACCCAAGATAGGGGGTTGGGATATCAGCCACTAAGCGGGGCTATTGGGGACAAATAAGGCCATCCTGTACTGTGAGGAGAAAGATCATAGATCATCTAAACTCAGGTCAGCTTTTGTGATTGAGGTATCGGCGAGATGTTGCTCGTACCGCAAAAGATGTGAACAGAGGGACAATTGCAGGGGTAAATATTACTACAACTATCGTATTCTGGCACTGTTTTCCTGGTTGAGGGCAGTATCCAAAGTCCTGAACCCCTAAACCCTGAACCCTAAACAGTTTCCAAGGTCTGGGTTTCAGGCTTGATGTTTTCGGTGTCCGTGACGAACTTCATGTGCAGGGTGGGCTCTATGTTTTAGCTTGGAAGGGGGGGGTTAGGGTTTAAGGTTTTAGGGTTAAGCGTTTTGGGTTTAGGGCTTAGACTCCCCAGCAAGAACAAACTAGAAGCCCCACACAACCTAAGGATTACTCCTACCCGAAAGGTTTGCTACACAAGGCACACATACCGCAACCCACACGTTAGAATGTGTATTGCAAGCCTTACCTAACTACTGATATCAGTTTGAATGTACTTGAGGTATCCTATGCCATAAGTACACAAGAAATCCAGTACCATTGTAATGGTAGTTATTTGTCTTTGTCCTTCTAGATTACATAGCCCCTAAAAACCCCTTCCTGAACCCAGCTTCCATTTAATTATCCATGTTTTGACATTCGATTGTCCATTGCTGGCACCCTCAACCCATTAACCCTTAACAAACAATCCTGTTCCCAACAGGGAGATGCCATGTCCTCGTAGACACCCGTGACCCTGATCTCAAACCTTGCTACCAACAAATGGTGGCCATAAGTCAGGTTGAAGTTAGAAGCACCCCAGGTGAGCACACAACGTGCTGTAGGCATACTTATCTTACTCGTAGCCGCAGGTTGTATCCACCCACGAACCGCTAACAAACTCCGCGCCTAGCGAGGATGCGCTCCTCTGGGTCGTACCTCTCAGAAGGATTCAGGTGTGGCAGTATCGGTATTTGCGCAGAAGAAATTAATAGTCATGTGCCTGAAGGTGGTGGTTACCTATCTTTCTCGCCATTGGGAGGAGCGTTTGGAAGCTCGAACTTAGTGCGTGCATGGGCGCCTCAGCAGCTTCTGCATAAGCTCCACGCACTCCGGCTCGGCATGTGGGATCCTGAGTTCATGGATTGAGGACTCTGAATTCTGGGATAAGAATGGGATCGTGCAGCCTTTTGTGGAATCACAGAACAGCTGTTTGTCTTTCTGGTGGAGATCCCACATATTGCCCAAAGCTTACCACCGCGGTGGCTGCTCATCAGACTGAGGGCACTTCAGTCAGCAAGCATCCGAATAATTGGGCTGTATGGCGGGGTTGACATTTTAAGAAACGGGATACCTGCAGGGCTTCCATGGCAGCCGAACGACAGGCGCTCTATGCCCGTGCCCTTCTTCTCTGGGAAGTTGAAGTCCATGTGCGAAGCATTCCTGAGCAGGCTACTTAGCTATAGCTTTGAGGCTGCCTTTTCAGTTCCTACATGTTTTAGGCTTGCGCCTGTGAGGTTAAGCACTTAAGGCGTCGGATCCGACGAACTTCCTGGTGCCAGACTTGCGAGTAGAAGGATCTATAAGGCCGGGGCTATGTATGGATCTATAGGGATTATACAGGGACAGACATAGGTTACATGGGGATTTACAGGGGTCACATCTGGGTTCGAGCTTTGGTGGGATGATCCTCATGCTGTCAAAGCTTGCAGAATCAATTACACTAATCAAAAGAAGAATGCCCTTGTAACCCTCATGTTCTTACAATATGGTGTAGCCCCCCCAAAATCTCTCTTCAAGTTATGGAGGCCCCCACAGACCATATCTATACTAGTCCCTATATGAAACTATAAAACTCCAGATAACATTGCAGGCGCTGTTTGCTTTGCTATTTGGCTCTCCATTCTTCGGAATATGCAGGCCCCTACATTCAATCCGTATAGAAACCTACCTGAACCCAGTTTCATTTCATGTTCCCTTCAATCCTCCGCTCTTCCATTGATCTAGGCCACTAAGCCCGAAAGCTTCCTTGTATCACCCACCCTAAACCGTATTTGTCCCATTACTTAGGCCCCTAAATTACCAAACCTGGCATGGTATCCTTCTGGCTTTCGGTGGATGCGCAGTTTGGGCCATGGTAAACCGCTTTAGGGTTTAGGTTTTAGGGTTTAGGTTTAGCGTCTAGGGCTTTTTTTTGGCTTTAGGACCTACGCCCTAAACCCTCAACCTAAATCCTAAACCCTAAGCCCTTAGACCCCAAACCCCAAGCCCTAAACCCTAAACCCTTCAGGGTTTAAGGATGGTCTTCCGCTTATTGCTGGCAATTTTGGAGTTGGGAGCACACGCCTATCGCAAGCAAGCTAATAAAAATCACCTCCCCTAACCCAACGACAAATAGTCCTACTTTGCAGGGAGACAGATCATTGCTGCATATATGTATATGGGTATTTGAGATATGTGCATATACATCTATATATATGCTTACCCCCCCCCCATTGACCTACCTTTCTGGGTGGAAATTTCTTCCAAAAATGAGAAATCCATGAATGAAAGATTTCTCTTCAATTTCTATTTAAATTATAAAAGGAAGTCATATAGAGGAAAATCTTTCCAAATGTGAGAAATCCAGGAATGAAGGATTTCGCTTTACTTTCTAATTGAATTGTCAAAGGAAATCCAGGAATGAAGGGCTTCTCTTTAATTTCTATTTGAATTCTAAAAGGAACCCGTAAAATCCTTCCAAAAATGAGAAAGCCAGGAATGAAGGATTTCTCTTCAATTTCTAATTAAATTTTTAAAGAAATTCATATAGAGGAACATCCTTCTAAAATGAGAAAGAAATCCAGGAGTTGAGGATTTCTCTTTAATTTCTAATTGAATTCTAAAAGGAATTCAAAAAGAGTAAAATCCTTCCAAAAGTGAGAAATCCAGGAATGAAGGACTTCGCTGTAATTTCTGATTGAATGTTCAGAGGAATTCATATAAAGGAAAATCTTTCCAAAAGTGAAAAATCCAGGAATTGATGATTTCTCTTTAATTTCTAATTGAATTTTAAAAGGAATTCATAAAGGAAAATTCTCGCAGCCACTCATGCATTATAGATTTACACATACAGATTTTGGAAACCAGAATCCGGTCACCAATTTCATATAGAGGAAAATATTTCGAAAATGAGAAATCCAGGAATGAAGGATTTCTCTTCAATTTCTAATTAAATCTTTAAAGGAGTTCATATAGAGGAAATTCCTTCCAAAATGAGAAATCCAGGAATGAAGGATGTCTCTTTAATTTCTATTTGAATTCTAAAAGGAACCCGTAAAATCCTTCCAAAAATGAGAAATCCAGGAATGCAGGATTTCTCTTCAATTTCTAATTAAATTTTTAAAGGAGTTCATATAGAGGAAAATCCTTCCAAAAGTGAGAAATCCAGG